TTCATTTGTTTTTGTTGTTTTTTCTCTAAACTTCTCTTCTCATTTCCTTTCATTCATTTGATCTGCAATCACTGATACCCTTTCTTCCACTTGATTGAATCGGCTTCTGAAGTTTGTTCATGTGTCATGTGGTTCTCATGCCATGGTTTTCAGCTCCATTAGGTCATTTAAGGTCTTCTCTATGCTGTTTATTCCAGTTAGCCATTCGTCTAATCTTTTGTCAAGGTTTTTAGTTTCTTTGTGATGGGTTCGAACATCTTCCCTTGGTTCAGAGAAGTTTGTTATTACCAATTGTCTGAAGCCTTCTTCTATCAACTCGTCAAAGTTATTCTCTGTCCAAGTTTGTTCCACTGCTGGTGAGCTGTGTTCCTTTGGAGGAGAAGAGGCGCTGTGACTTTTAGAATTTTCAGCTTTTCTGCTCTGGTTTCTCCCCATCTTTGTGGTTTTATCTACCTTTGGTCTTTGATGATGGTGACATACAGATGGGATTTTGGTGTGGATGTCCTTTCTCTTTGTTAGTTTTCCTTCTAATAGTCAGGACCCTCAGCTGCAGGTCTGTTGGAGTTTGTTGGAGGTCCACTCTAGACCCTGTTTGCCTGGGTATCACCAGTGAAAGCTGCAGAATAGCAAATAAGGCAGAATGGCAAATGTTGCTACCTGATCCTTCCTCTGGAAGCTTCATCTCAGAGAGTCACCCGGCCATATGAGGTGTCAGTCAGCCACTACTGGGAGATGCCTCCCAGTTAGGCTACTTGGGGGTCAGGGACCCACTTGAGGAGGCAGTCTGTCCGTTCTCAGATCTCAAACTCCTTGGGAGAACCACTACTGTCTTCAAAGTTGTCAGACAGGGACGTTTAAGTCTGCAGAAGTTTCTACTGCCTTTTGTTCAGCTATGCCCTGCCCCCAGAGGTGAAGTCTACAGAGACAGTCAGGCCTCCTTGAGCTGTCGTGGGCTCTACCCAGTTCGAGTCTCCCGACTGCTTTGTTTACTTACTCAAGCCTCAGCAAGGGCGGACGCCCCTCCCCCAGCCTCGCTGCCACCTTGCAGTTCGATTTCAGACTGCTGTGCTAGCAGTGAGCAAGGCTTTCTGGGCATGGGACCCTCCGAGCCAGGAGCGAGATATAGTCTTCTGGTGTTCCAGTTGCTAAGACCATTGGAAAAGCGCAGTATTAGGGTAGGAGTGTCCTGATTTTCTGGGTACCATCTGTTACAGCTCCCCTTGGCTAGGAAAGGGAATTCCCTTACCCCTTGTGCTTCCCAGGTGAGACAATGCCCTGCCCTGCTTCAGCTCATGCTCCATGGGCTGCACCCAGTGTCCGACAAGCCCCAGTGAGATGAACCCAGTACCTCAGTTGGAAATGCAGAAATCACCCATCTTCTGCATCACTCACGCTGGGAACTGTAAACTGGAGCTGTTCCTATTTGGCCATCTTGGAACCTCCCCTGCTTTTTTTTTTTTTTTCTTTTAAGATGGAGTCTTGCTCTATCACCCAGGCTGGAGTGCAGTGGCACAATCTCAGCTCACTGCAACCTCCGCCTCCCAGGTTCAAACAATTCTCTGCCTCAACCTCTTGAGCAGCTGAGATTACAGGTGCCTACCATCATGCCCAGCTAATTTTTTTTTTGTATTTTTAGTAGAGACAGGATTTCACCATCTTGGCCAGGTTAGTCTTAAACTCCTGACCTTGTGATCTACCCGCCTCAGCCTCCCAAAGTGCTGGGATTACAGGCATGAGCCACCACACCCAGCACCTATTTTTTTTAAATTGAGATTTTTGTTTTCTTATTGTTGGTTTGTGAGAGGTCTTTATACATACTCTGAATATAATTCTTTTATTGTATATGTGACTTGCAAACAATCTGTGTGAGATTTTCTCCCAATCTGTGTCTTATTATTTCATTATCTTTCACAGAGCTTAACTACTTACTTTTGATATAGTACAGCTCACCGGTTTTTTTCTTTTATGGCTTATACTTTTGGTTTTGTTTCTAAAAACTTTTTGCCTTACTCAAATCACACAGATTTTCTCTCCTATATTTTCTCCTTGATAATTTATGGATTTGTGTTTTATATTTAGGTATATGACTCATCTTGAGTTGAAATTGTTTATAAAGTGTGCGGTATAGGTTGAGGTTTGTTTATCTATCTGTCTGTCTGTCTGTCTATCTAGGCCTGTGGACATCCCGTTGTTCATCTAGACTGTGAACTCTTGAGGCCGTGTCTCCTGATTTTTGTATCCTTGTAATGGTATAATACTCTCCACATAATAGATACATGTCAAATATTTGTAAACTGAATGACTTATTTTCAGTTTATGTTTCAATCATGCCTCCCATCACCTCCACTCAGTTATGTGTGAGTGGCTCTTTTGTTTCTATAATATTAAATCTAAATCTTTACACCTGTTTTTAAATTCCAGTTATAAGTATAGAATGTTGTCTAGCCCTCATAATAAATCAGCCCCCAATTTCAATAGTTCTAGATGTCATGGATAATTTTGAAGTGTTGCTTTCAATGGCATATCTGAAGTACTGACTTTTAAATTATGTATTTTAGCCACAATTACTCCTCTTTGCCAAGATCCTCACCTGTCTATCTTCATTGATTTGGTTTCAACAATGGATTTACCTAATAAGATAGGAAGCATAATACATTATACAGAGCAGACCAGATGGCCAGATTGTCACATCCTTTTTGAAATGGATCCTGCCTACCAAAATATAGTAAGTTTTAAAACAGTTCATTTTAGGGAATATTTACTTTAAGGAGCAGAGACCCACTGAATTCTTACATGAAATGAATTTATTGAAAAATTAGGGTATTATATTCATAGCAATTGGAAAATCATTCCCAGCTTATCTCCTCATTTGTTTTCCCCATGATCTGTCATCACTGCTCACCTCTGTGTGATTTTTCCAACTTCTGTGAAAATAAGCTTTCTCTTTTATGGCTCCCTCATAATGTAGACTCATCAGTTGTTGACTTGCCATGCCTTAACTCTTTCCATTAGCATCAACTGGGTATTTTTGTCCAAATTTACAAGAGAATCTAATTGGCTTAGCTTGATTTAGGATTCTACCCTCTCTAAATAGTTATGTCTTTGGTGAATTGGGTGAGGTCACATACTATATACCAGCTGCCCTTAACCTTTTTGGCTCCAGGGGCTGGTTTTGTGGAATACAGTTTGTCCATGGACAGCAGCTGAGGGGTGGTTTCAGGATGAAACTGTTCCACTTCAGATCATCAGGCATTAGTTAGATTGTCATAAAGGACACACAACCTAGATCCCTCACATGTGCAGTTCACAATAGGGTTCGAGCTCCTATGAGAATCTAATGCCACGGCTGATCTGGCAGGAGGTGGACCTGAGGCAGTAGTGCTTGCTCACCCACTGCTCACCTCCTGCTGTGTGGCATAGTTCCTAACGGATCATGGACTGGCACTGCTCTCCGGCCTGGGGGTTGGGGCCTGGCCTTTTCTTGGGCTAAGCATAGTATACTCTAAAACGGGGTAACAAGCAAGGGGATAAATGATTGGTGTCTCCAGTACATGGCTCAAAATAACATGTTAATTATAAAGTTAAATAGCCTAATAAGCCTTTAGGTAAAAGCCAAATATTAGAAAGCCATCTAAATTTCTTAAAGTCTTATGTTTCCAATATATTTAGATTTTTAATAGCAGTTCTTAAACTCCACATGGCACTATTATTTTGTTTTCTCAGAAACTATTAGCATGTCAAACCATTTTTCAATCTAAAAATAAAAATTCTAACATCTTAACATTCTTATTTACAGATTGTGAATCTCCTGACTATTGTTGGTAATTCAATGGGCCTAGTTAATGCTTACAGCTGCAAGTTTATAAAGTATTGTACCATGGTAGAAAAGGCCAAAATCATGAGTATGAAAATATCATCTATGGGAGAATTAACTTCAAAAGAATTTGAAGCTATTTTAAATAGATTCAGAAATTATTTTAGACATATTGTGAATATGGCCATTGAGAAGCGTATTGGTATTTTCAAGGTTGTAAGTCTTGATTATCAATCAGAATGCTTACCGTATATTGACAACGTCATACATATGAGTCACACCCTCATGCGATCTGTAATTGAAAAAAAGAACAAAAATTTATTGGAAGTAAGTATTTTGAAAATTCTTATTGTGTAATAATGTTTCAGATTAGTAAATTTTAAATTTAAAATATATACTTAGAGAATATATGATATCAGATGTCACGTGCAGAGTATGATAAAATTGAAAAAATGAAGATATGCATGATAAATATTATCCTCAGAAAATTTTAATGTGTATTACATTTGTTTGTGTCTTTGATAAAATATCACTTCCTCAAAAACCTCTGATCACCACTTCTATTGCATTCCATATCACTTTCCTGCTTCTTTCCCTGTTTTATCTTTATGACATACATTACTACCTGATTATGTTATGTATTTGTTTGTTTGTTGATCGTCTATTCCATTAGAATGTAAGCTTCATCATACTATGGAGTATCTAAGATAAATCTTTGAATACAGATGAATATTGGAGTTTCACTGTATATTAGGGCTGACCTCTTTAAGGAAGTATTCTGGGTGGGCAGATCTCCTGTGGGACCACAGTGGTTTGGAGACTTTATGGAGATTCCCAAGCTGAGAAAGTATGAAGATCTGGGAGCAAAATAACCTGCCCCTTCATTAATTATTCCTACCTATCATCCATATAAGTTTGTAGGACAGCTTAGATCCTAATAGACTGGCCATTGTCCATACGAGCAACCACAGCTGTACCTCAGACCTGTTTAAGGATATGAATTTATAATAATACCTACTATTTGTTAATTTGTTAAGTCAGATCACAAATATTTGTTGAGCATTGACCGTGTGCCAGGCATTGTGCTAAGCCCCTGAAATATAATGGTGAGAGGGATAGATTCAATAGAGTCTCATCTAGAAGAATATGCTAGCTGAAATACCTAACATAACCTAGGTGAACAATCACAGACAATTTGCTAGAAAAAGTCTTATCATCTAAAGGAGGAGTGGGAGTTGCCTAGTCAATGGGAGATGGTGTGGAAACACTGGAAAGAAAGGTCAGAATATTGCAGGAGTAGGTTGATTTAATTTAGATTCAGTTGCATATGACAGAAAACAAAAGATAACAGTGGGTTACACAAGTATGAAACTAATTTATCTCTCAGGTAAAATTAGTGGAGAAACAGACCACATAGGGCTAGTATGACTGGCTTCACGAAGCCATCAGGGACATAGGATGCTTCTAGCTTACCACTCTGCCTTCCCTAGAGCATGATACTCATGCACTGGTTGTCATATCCTCATTCCAGGCGGCAGGATGGAAGAAGGCAGCAAAGAAAATCTCTCAATTCCACTTGATATTTCCCACAGGTTCCCCCACACTTTTACTTTTATTTTATTTACTAGAACTTAGTTATGTGCCCTCGCCTAGCTGCAGGACTGACTGAGAATGGTAGTCTTTTAACTGGGAGCATGGTACCCCAAACAAACTCAGGATTTGTTATTAAAGTGGTGAAGGAAAATGAAGTTTGGGGTAGGCATCAAGCAGAAACTGACATCAGAAAATGGGGACAGCAAGTGAAATGTCAAAAGAGAACAAGGCATACCTAAAGAAGACCTGAATGAAGCCAGTTAGGTGGGAATATAGTCTGTGAAAAGGGACTGGCAAGAGGTGCAGCTAAGAAATGGAGAAGAGGACCTTGTAAGCCATGTCAGGCACTTGGAACATTATTCTTAAGACTATGGGAATTATTGAGAGGTTTTAAGCCGAGAAGTGACATGATGTAATTTGCATTTTTGTGTGGACTCTCTGGCTGCAGTGTGAAGAATAGATTGAAGTTGGGCAAAACAGGAGGAAAGCTGTTTCCATAGTCTAGGGGAGAGGTGACCATAGCCTGATTCAGTGTAGTAACAATGAGAACTCTGAGCAATATATAGATATGAGATACATCTAGGAGATGAATCAAGAGGATATGGTATTGACTGAATATAAGGAATAAGATAAAGTTAATTATGTTTTCAGGTTTTGGGTTGGGCAACAGGGTGGGCAGTGATGCAAATTATTGGGAGGAGGAACATAGTACTTGTTAAATTGCATAATAATATTCAAGTAGGGATAACCAGATATACATATCTGGGTATCAAGAAAGTATCTACACTGGAAATATATATATTTAAATGATCAGAAACAAGTGGTTGTTGAAATCAACAGAGTGAATGACAATGCCCTTGTTTATGTGTATAGGGAGACTAGAAGAGAACCTACAACAGAAACCTAAAGAACCAGGAAATTACAGTTGTGGGGTTCCCAGTGGAGAATCACTGAGGAATCTGTGAGTGCTCTCCATGAGACAGAGTCAGCTCTAAACATCTGCCCAGCTCAGAGACGTTAATGCCAGGTCAGACAGTGGCAGGCAGTAAAGACATTTTCTGCCTCTTCTCTCTCCTCCTGTCTCCTACTATACCCCTGGAGGGGTCAGAAGATGTGGCTAGGAACTGGAAGTAATTGAATAAATAAAAGGCATACAAATACAAAAGCAGCTAATTACACACCCACCTTCTCTACTGCAGACATTAATTTTAAATAAATTTTGGAGCCTTGACTATTATTAATACATAGGGACTTGATTTTTAATTTATGGATTTTTAAAATTAAAAGTGACCAGAGGACTTTATTATCTCTTTGTGACCAGAAAAGTCTTGGGTATTGATGTATATTTTATCTAAAGGTCTTTTCTTCATTTAAACCCCCAAAAGTGGGAGGAAAAATTAAGTTATGTCATTATAATACTGTCTATAAAGTTCTACTCTTACAAATTAATAGTTTTAGGATATTACATATTTCTTCTATATCCTTATTTATTTTTTGTGTATCAGACATATACAAATCCTGAAAATCTGTTTAAAACTTTTCATTATAATTATGCTTTAAATAAATTTCTTCTTGCATTTCTGGTGGTTTTTCCTATATATAGTAGCTTCTATACTGTATGGTTTATGACTGTTTATTTATTTGTTTATTTATTTATTTATTTATTTTTGAGACAGAGTCTCACTCTGTCGCCTAGGCTGGAGTGCAGTGGCGAGATCTCGGCTCACTGCAACCTCCGCCCCTCCAGGTTTAAGCAATTCTCTACCTCAGCCTCCAGAGTAGCTGGGATTACAGGCGCGTGCCACCGGCCCGGCTAAGTTTTTTGTATTTTTAGTAGAGACGGGGTTTTACCATCTTGGCCAGGCTGCTCTTGAACTCCTGACCTCGTGATCCACCCACCTCTACCTCCCAAAGTGCTGAGATTACAGGCATGAGTCACCACGCCCAGCCAGTTTATGACTGTTAAATCATCTTCACAAAGCATGTCGTTTATCAAAACGTTATAAAAATCTTTAAAGTACTTTTAACTTGCCTGATAAAAACTAACTTCTGTTTCTTTTGTGTATGTATATTTGCCAAGTTAATTTTTGCCCATTGCTTTATTTTTTATATTCTCTTCAAATGTGCTTCTTATAAATAGCGTAATTCTGAATTTTGTTTTATAACTCAGTTAATAATTATCTTTTAAAAAGAAAAATCAGTTTGTTAACTTATAACAATTAATGCACTTTTTTTCCATTTCACCTTATATTTTACTTTTTCCTTAAAGTTTTTGTCCTTATTTTTGCTCTATTGATTGGCTGATCTTCAGTGACCTCCCTCTTTTTTTTTTTTCACTATGTTGATTTTGGGAGTTTTATTCTACTTTTAAATTTCTTTAATGATAATCTTCCCTCTCCTGATTCTCACAATAAAATGTATTTATCTGCTATTAAGAGAAAACAAAATGTTTATCCTCTAAGATGCCATATTCCTCCATAGCATTTCCTCAGGCCAATAAAATGAGATCTCAAGAATGGTGTTGCTTTCTAATTCTCCTCCAGAACTGAGATGTTGGAACAACTGAACTCCCACTCCCTACTCAACAGTTAGTCTTCACTGAGATAGCTTAGTACTTTCAGTTCTAGACTATTACTGAAATAGAAGTATGTCTTTTCTTTATTTTCAGTGTTGGGGGCTATAGTGCAATGGTGATCATAGCTTACTGCAACCTCAAACTCAAGTAATCCTCCCACCTGGGCCTCCAGAGTAGCTGGGACTATGGGCATGTGCCACTATAGCTAGATTTTTTTTTTTTTTTTTTTTTAAAGATGGGATCTTGTTATGTTGCCCAGGCTGATCTCTAACTCCTGGCCTCAAGTGATCCTTTCAGCCTCCTGAATAGCTGGGATTATAGGCATAAGCCACCACCTGGTTGTATTTTCTGTTTTAAAAGTCCTTATATAGCACATAAATTACATACTCCCAGAAAGTTCATCTTCATCCATTTAGCTATGTAGACAGGAATGAGAATATAATGTTTACAACATTGATTATGATGTGAGACTGCCTAAGTTCAAAATCTGTGATCTAGCCATGTTGGAGAAACAAAGACTGAACTTAACCTCCTTCCATAAACAACTAAATAAAATAAAGGAAAGAAATACTGGTGGGGTACATTGGTTCATGCCTCTGTAATGCCAGCAATTTGGGAGGCCAAGGCGGGTGGAGTGCTTGAGCTGAAGAGTTCAAGACTAGCCTGGACAATGTAGTGAAAACCCATCTCTACAAAAAGTGCAAGAAAACTAGCCAGGCATGGTGGTGCACACCTGTGGTCCCAGCTACTCAGGAGGCTGAGGTGGGAGGATGGCTTGATCCCAGGAAGTTGAGGCTGCAGTGAGTTGATCATGCCACTGCACTCTAGCATGGTCAACAGAGTAAGACTATTTCTCAAAAAGAGAGAGAGAGAGAGAGAGAGAAATAAATAAATACCTTCAGACACTGATTAACAGGTAGTACAGGATTATGATTCTGGAAATAAGGGAAACAAGTGAGAGAGAGGATTTCTGCCTGGGGATAGTTTTTGGACTACAAATATGTACAGGGAGGGGGAACTGGCCTCAATAAGTTGAGGAAATGGCTGAAATTTTTAGGGCAGAGTCCTATAAAGAAGGAAGCTATGAAGAAAATAAAAAGCCCCAGAAATCTGCCCTGGGGTCCTGTGACTCTGCTTAGTAGGCAGAATGTTCGTAGGG